AAAAAAAAAAAAAGAAAAAAGAAAAAAGAAAAAAGAAAAAAAAGGAGAACAAAATTTGAAGGACTTACTGATATTTTTGTACTCATTATGTATAACTCCCACAAAATTGGCCAAAGATGTGTTAAGCTTAAGCTTTTTGGAAATAGGCCCAACAATGTGTAAGACATATAAAAATTATTTATCTTTATCTATGACACATGATAAATATATAAAATTATGTATTTTTTGAAAATTGATGTCTCATGTGTCCGTACTTGTTAGATTTTGTGCTTTGAAATTTCATCCCAGCCTCAAAAGGAAGGAATTTACCACAAACCTCTCAGAGCAATTGTTATGCAAAGCCTATGCTCCTTTACTATTTTGTAAAGTTCAAATGAGAAATAATCAAAGTTCATTGGGAAAAAAAAAATTAAATAAAAGAAAAAACCTACTTTTGCCTTGTTTATATTTGCAATGAAATGTCATTTACCTTTTGTTATTAATTTTTTTTTTTAATTTTCTTCCAAATTTCTTACAAGTGTATTTCGGTTTTTTCTTCCTAATTTTTCTTAGAGATAACTTTCATGTCATTGATTATATGATTTAATACATTATTCTTGCAATATATTTATAGATTATGTGAAAATATTTATAATTTATTTATATCTATATTCATTTATGTTAATTTATCTTACGATACATTATAAGATACAAAATGATAGTATGTGATACACGATACATAAAAGTGACGCAATCATACACAATATGAATCACAATTCCACAATACTGTATAATACAACTTCATCACGAAATTGATTGAAACATAAATTAGTTCTACATTCCAAAAAGGTTAAACTCTGAAGTAACAAAACCTAACATTTGCAAAGCAACTCAACCCAAGACTTAGAAATTAGTAAGCAACGCATTGACAAGAAACTACAAATTACAATATCTACACAAAATGAACCTTTCTTTTACAAGTAAAATGAAAATGGAAAAAAAAAAGAAAAAAAACATTAAGCACAATAGGAAACTCACATTCGTTCATCATTTGGTCCATACTTAGCGAATTGAACCATTATCTCTCTACCATCAACAACACGTCCTGCCACAGTAACACAAATATATAAACATCACATCTCCACACTTATCCAAACATATATACATGGCTTAATTACACTTTTCACCCCTTAGTTTGACCCAAATTTCACTTTACACTTTTGGAACACTTGTCATCAAACAATGGAGATGGTTGCACATATCTTAAATCTTGAAGATGTTCATATCTTTTCTTATCAGAAATGCAAATTGCTTGCATTTACAGTAAACTAATGTTGAGCACCATCAATTGCATAAAAAGAGCATCATCTTCCTAAGTGATTTATCAATCATGAAGGGCCTAAACCTTTAAAAGTAAACTAAGCTTCTATAAAAACCACCAAGTCCAATAGAAAGACAAATACCATGGAATCATCATAGTACAGATCTGTAAGTAATCACATCTAAAACTCAAACTCCTATAAGTCTGTAACAAATGGAACTTTCTCTCTTGCATCTAAAAGAAAAATAACAAAATCCAAAACAGAAGCTATCACAACGTTGATTTTGTCGAATTAAAGACTGGATCGAACTGGGTGTTTCTGAGTTCCAATCTAGAACGACGAGGAAGGGTTTCAGAGTTATGGTTTGGGACCGTGAGGATTTCAGATTCTTGTGGCCATGTGATGTGTGTAGATTGGAAGTATTTTTTAATTGATTTATTTAAAATTTGTATGTAACGCAAATTATGATTTTAATTTGAAGGGTAATTTATGAAAAATATAAGATATATTGAGTGTAAATTGTAATCTTAAAACATTTAATAGAGAGCATAGAGAAATTGAAGATACTTAATGATTTTTTTTAAGCGCAAATAGAATGTCTATACTTAACCCACTCACGAGCTAAGCCCAGTTTAGCCAATTTAAAGTCCAAAATCTTAGACTCAAGGGTGATTCTATTTGCAAGAGACTCGTGAGTGTTAGACAGTGCTGAAAAAAGAAGAGAGAAAAAAAATGGAGGCTGGAGGTTGGAACCCAGTGCTGGGGTAACCAAGGTAGTAGATTAGTGGAAAATGGATTGTTTACTATCTTTGTGGATGAGATTCCAAACTCAATGAATCCTAATAGTCTGTTTACCTTGTTTAACAAGTTTGGAGTAGTTAAGGATGCTTTCATCCTAAAAAAAAAGAAGAAAAACAACGGGATCAAGGTTTGGTTTTGTGAGATACGATTACAATGTTGCAGCTGAAATGGCAGTTCTGAAGGCTGATGGCCTGTGGTGTGACAACAAGGCACTGAAAGTGAAGAAAGTAGAGTTCAAAAAAAGAGAGTATAAGCAACATATAATGGCAACTAGAGGAGATAATAGGATGATACAGCATCAATAGAGGAGTTTCGTGCAACGAATGGTGGAAAGTGTAGGCAAAAGATCCTTTGCATAAGTAGTAAAGAATGGAGGCAGTGATGAAAAGGCGAAGTTTGCAGTTAAGGCCTATGAAATTGGAAATGGGTGTCTTTATGACAGTCTAATAGTGAAGCTTAAATATTTTCTCTCACTTAATGAGCTTAAAGAGGAGGTTGATAGAAGAGGTGTGTAGGATGTAAGAGTCAGAAATGGGGGAGGAATGCTAGCAGTGCTAACCTTCAAATCACAACAACATAAAAAGACGGAAAGATTAAAGCTAGAAGAGTGGATGTTAGAATGGTGTGATTCTGTTACAAATTGGGAGAAAGGAAAATACATTGCACAAGAAAGGTGTGTGTGGATTACATGTGTAGGTGTCCTATTCAACTTGTGGAGTGTTAGTACATTCAGAGACATTGGCAATTTATACGGTGAAGTTGTTCAACTAGATGAAGCTGTCAGTAGCCAGAATTCTTTTTAGTGTGGGAAAGTAAGAATAATCACTAACAGAATGGAGTTCATCAACATGGTGATTAATGTTGAATGTAATGGAAGCATTTTCCCAGTTAGAGTATGTGAAGAGCTACCAGCAACAGTAAAGCCATGTCATTGCAAACGCTTTTTCCAGGAAAAAGAGGTCGGAAAATCTATTGCTCAAGATGAAGTAGATCAACTGTCAAAAAATGGTGGGAGAGGTAAGGAGGAAAATGAAGATCGAAATACAGGGATGGAGGAGTTGAGTAGAAAATGTGATGTGGCAAGGGATGATAAGGACATGGTGGATAGAGATTTAGGGGAAAATGATGAAAGTAATGAGTGGTTATCTACATCAGTCGTAAAAGAAACGGTGAGTGACATGGAAAATCCAAAAGTCTGAGGAGAATGTATAGAGGATAGGCTGGAGCATACAAAAACTCCAAGAAATGAAATTCAAATAGTTGAAGGGCATATATGCACTCTTGGGTTTATCAAAGGCCTTAGTGGGTTAGAGAGTACAAGGCCCAAGTTAAACTTAGAGGTGGTTTTGAAAGGACCTCAGGCTGGGACATTGGCAAATGGGCCCATCACTGAACCTTCAAACCTAAGTGACTGTGTAGCCCAAACTCAACAAAGGCCTCTTATTCTACAACCAGTCCAAGAAAGAGTGATAGAAAAGGGCAACCCATCAAGAAGGGGGAAGATTACTAAACCAAAGATGAGCAGAAGCAAAAAGAAATGAGCTGATCTGAGAAGTAGGGAAAAACATAGTCGAAAATAGACTAAGCAAAAAAGTGTTCTGTTCAGCAATTGTCTTCAAAGTTAAGCTATCTTTAGAGCAACAGCAACTGCAATATTATTGTCAATTGAGTCGAGTACTAACTCAGGGAGAAGGAATAAGTTACTAAGTAAAGCTTAAGCTACTATTGAAGTTGGGAAAATTCCAGGTTTGAATTATGAAGGAAAAAAGAAAGAGGTGGTTAGCAAATTAATTGATCTTGAAGAGAAGGATCTGGGGAGAATTGAAGGGGACGGTGTTACTCATTAGGCTAATTAAGGGCAAAGATTAAGGAGATTTGGGATTTGTTAATAGTTTCCTTATGATTATCTTATCCTGGAATGTTAGAGGTCTGAGAAGACCTGAAAAGAGAAGAAAAATAAAAAAAATAAAAAAATTAGTTAGGAGGAGGAAGATTGATATTTTTCTTCTATATGAGACAAAGAAAAGCAAAGTAGATGATATTTTTGCTAAGCCATTATGGCTATGAGAGGAGTTTGAGTGCATGGAGGTGGGTGCAGAAGGAAGTGGTAGTGGAATGTTATGCTTGTGGAATCCACAAATTTTTGAGCTAAATGAGTGTTGCAGTTACAGAAACTTCATACTATTATCAAGTATGGTGCATCATTCTTTTAGTTATGTTATCATAAATGTATATGCACCCAATGATGTGTTGAAAAGAAGATAATTATTGGAGTCCTTAGCTAAGCTTAAACCATTCTTTTTAAGTCTTTGGTGTATAGGTGGAGACTTTAATGAAATAAGATTCATGAGCGAAGGAAAAGGATGCTCTAGAAGTGAAAGAGAGATGAGGGACTTAAATGAATTGATTGAAAATCTGGAGCTGTTAGATAAACCAATGTTAGGTAGAAACTTCACTTGGTGTAATGTGATGGATGGAGATAAATGGAGTAGGATTGATAAATTCCTAATTGATCCTAGGTGGTTGGAAGGATTAAAGTTTAAATAATGGAGTTGCCAAGAAGCATTTTTTATCACTGCCCAATACTTCTTATGAAAGATGAGAGGGATTGGGGCCCAAAACCATTTAGATTCGTCAACGTATGGTGTTTGCATCCTAAATTCAAAGCAGAAGTAAAGAAATGTTGGGAAGGATCACAAGTTAGTGGTTGGGCCAATTACAGGCTATCAAAAAAGCCAGGAAATCTGAGAGCACGTCTAAGAAGGTGGAACTGTGAAGTGTTTGGAACATTGATGAGCAGTTGAAAAAGTAGATGATGAACTTCCTGAATGGGACTTAAAAGCAAAAGAGAGGAATCTATAGGATTTTGAGATTAAAAGAAGGGCAGAAATCAGAAGTTTAACATGGGATCTAAGTAAGAAGAATGAATCGTTGTGGTATCAAAAATCTAGAATGGTATGGGCTAAAAATGAGAATAAAAATACCAGGTTTTTTTTATACAATGACAAGTAAAAGGCAGAAGAAAAACATGTTGAATTCAGTTAATGAGAATGGAGTACTTCATGATCAGCCTGGTATGATTAAACAAACAGTGGTAAATCATTTCAGTCAGTTGTTTACTGAAGGATGGAGGTGTAAAGCAAAGTTGTCAAGTGTTTTTGCCTCAATCAGTCAAACAGATTCAACTGAATTATTGGAGGCAAAGTTTCTAGAGGATGAAATCTAGGAAGCAGTTAAAGATTGTGAAGGTAACAAAGCTCCAAGGCCATATGGTTTTAATCTAAAATGTATTAAAAAATGATGGGACATCATGAAAGGGGAGATTGCGTAGATGATGAATGAGTTCCACTCTAACAGTAAGTTGGCCAAAGGAGTGAATAGTTCATTTATTACCTTAATTCCAAAGAAGAAAAATTATGTGGGGTTGAGTGACTATAGACCAATCAATTTGGTTAGCTTAATGTACAAAATAATAGCTAAAGTCTTATCAAGAAGGTTAAGGCAGGTTTTACCCAAGATCATTAGTGAAGTACAAACACCGTTTCTAAGAGGAAGATATATTTTAGATGGGGTACTAATTGCCAATGAAGTAGTGGATTGGTGAAGAAGATCAAAAAAGAAAGGAATCATCCTAGAGCTGGACTTTGAAAAGGCATACGACTCAATAAATTGGGAGTTCTTGTATTCGATGATGACCAACTTTGGTTTTGGTGAGAAATGGGTGGTGTGGATGAAGACTTTTATATCTACAACTAGAATATCAGTGCTAGTAAATGGATCACCTACATCAGAGTTTTCCTCCCTGAAAGGCCTTAAGCAAGGTGGCCCACTTTCACCTTTCCTCTTTAACATTGTAGCAGAGGGCCTTAATATTCTAATGGAAAGAGCAAAAGAAGAGGGCCTGATTAGAGGAGTAACAGTAGGGCCAAATGACCTAAAACTATCACATTTACAGTTTGCTGATGATACTATTATATTTTGTGAAGCTGACTGGGAGGAAATTGTTGCTATAAAAAGAATATTAAGATGCTTTGAGTTGATGACAGGACTCAAAATAAATTTCCATAAAAGTAAAGTGTGTGGGGTAGGTGTTCAGGAGGATCTAGTGAAGGTTTTTGCAGGAAAAAAAAAAACCTTAATTGCCTCAGTCAAAAGTTGCCTATGAACTATCTAGGGCTCCCATTAGGAGCAAATCCAAGGAGGAAGAATACATGGAAACTAATGGTGGATACGTTCAAGGGCAAGTTAACTTCATGGAAGAGAAGGTATTTGTCTTTTGCAGAAAGATTAACTCTAATAAAGTCCATATTGACAAGCTTGCCAGTCTATTTCCTATCTATCTTCAAGATGCCAGTGGGTATTGCAAAATCATTACACAGAATTCAAGCTAATTTTCTTTGGAGAGGATCTGAAATCAGGAAAAAAGTGTACTTAGTTAGTTGAAAGGAGGTTTGTCTAAGCAAAAATCAAGGTAGGCTAGGTGTGAGAAATCTAAGTCAGGTTAATGAGTGCCTATTAATTAAGTGGTGGTGGAGGTATGGCAAAGAGGAGTCGGCTTTGTGGAAACAAGTGTATGTAGTAAGTATAGAGGTTCGGGTGGCAGATGGAGCCCATTATTAGTAGATTCAGAGTTGATGTCTACTCTGTGGCAGGACATACTATCAGTGGCTTCAGCAAATCCTACTTTACGAGATTTCTTTTTGCAAAACTTCAAGTTAGTTGTTGGAAATGGTAGAAGATTGCAGTTCTGGGTTGATAGGTGGTTTAACAATCAAAATCTGAGTGTGGAATTCCCCAGATTATTCACTTTGTTAGTTGAAAAAGATGGCAATTTGTTTCATTTTTTTTTTCCATAGAAGAGGAGTGGATAGGGATTGGGAACTAGCCTTTAGAAGGCCTCTTTTTGCTTGGGAAGAGGAGGAAGTGCAAAAACTTAATGACCTGTTGCAAAATGTAACTAGGCTAACTGAAGGGGTTGAAGACTCTTGTTCTTGGCTGGCTCATTCCTCTGGAGCTTTCACTATGGCATCAATCTGGAAGTGGGTGGAAGCATGTAAAAGGCCAGTTATTACAGTCACTAAAAGTATTTGGAATAATTTAGCCCCTTCCAAAGTACAATTTCTAAGTTGGTTAGCTTAGAGAGGTAGGATTAAGTCCTCTGAGTTTTTGCAAAAGATTGGAGTGTTGAATTCAAATGTTAGTGCACTCAATGTTTTGTAAATATGAGGTGGAGTCTATGAATCGTGTTCTATTTCACCATTCTATGATCTGGAGAATCTGGGCCAATATTGTGAATTCGTGGAATTTGAGTTGGGTTATTCTTGGTTTAGTGGAGGCACTATTACATTGGTGGTCAGGTACAAGAATGAAGAAAGAGGTGAAGGAGATTTGGAAGACAATTCCTATAGCAGTAATGTGGTTAGTGTGGAAAGTCAAAAATGAGTGCTTATTTAATAAGGCACAACCAGATTTGACTGATTTGGAGAAGCTGGTAAAGGTTAGAGTTGCTATATGGGCTACTTTCTTTTTGAAAGAGTTTAAGTACTCAGTGCAAGATATTATCTATAACCTGAAGCATGTCTGCTACTGTGTGTAAAAAGGTGTGACATAGGGGAGTTAAACTGCGGTGTTGTTGTAGTGTTGCTGTTGTGCTATTGCCTACTGTTGTATTGTTGCCTACTATTGTGTGTAGAAAGGTGTGACATAGGGGAGTTGAATTGCCTGCTGCTGTATTGTTGCACTGCTGCTGGATTGTTGTTCTGTTTTTTCTTTCTTTCTTTCTTTGGTTGTTCTTGATTGGTTTCTCACCAATGAATCTTGGGTCAAGTGCTAACAAATGATTTTGTTTTCTTTGTGGTGCCAACCTAGTTGAGATTGTTGAGGTTAGCTATGATGCTCAGTACACTTCCCTACTTTGTTGATGTAAGTTGTGCATTTATATTGTTTTTTTTCATCAATAAAGCCTCAATTTTGCTGCTCAAAAAAAAAGGGGGTGATTATATTTGCACTCAAATAACAATTTTGTACGTCCAATTAAAAATTTAAAAATTTAACTCCTATTATACCTTAATATAAATTTATTAATAAGGACAATACATATTAAATCCTAAAATAAAATATTATTTTTTTTCATGGTACACCCAAACCGTATTGTTCATATTCAAGTCTATTCATCTTCTTTTCTAAGGCCTCGTTTGGGAAGTTGGTTATTTTAGTAGGCTATTTTAGTTTTTTGCTATTTAAGTAGGCTAAAATAATTGTATTTGGGAAGATGGTTGAATTTTTTTGTAGTTGGATATGATATTTATGAGAAAAAAAGTGAAATGATTATGGATTTGATGTGACATTTTATGTTATTGACTATTTTCTTTTTTTTGTGAATTTTAACCCAAAAAGTTAAAAAAATAAAAAAAATAAAAAAATCATTTGCCAAACACCCCTAAGCTTCAATTATTTTCTTTTTATCATTTTTCCCATTTTAAAACTTCTATAAGTCCCGTCAAAACTCACAATTATTATCAATATCATTATTTCTTATTGAAAAAATAAAATCAAAATTTTGAATCACGGAAAATGATTGATTTGTTACAAAAACTCAAATTGTTATTGTGAGGTTTTAATTCTCACAATTACATTAATATCATTATTTCTTATTGAAAAAATAAAATCAAAATTTTGAATCACGGAAAATAATTGATTTGTGACAAAAACTCAAATTCTTATTGTGAGGTTTTAATTCTGTGAATGGTATATCTCAATTAGTTGCCAGACATAAATAACATTCGCATGATAAGAGTACACCTTGTTGAAATAGCTAAAACAAGAGAATTTATGGGTTCAACAAATCAAGTACCAATAAATAAATAAATAAAGTGTGCTGAACGGATTCAACATGTAATGGTGTAAAAAACAACCACTAGCTCATCTATCGTTAATATCGATTCCATAACTGTGTTAAGGATCAACAAAGTAAGCATAAACTCCAAACTAAACAAGAGTAACAATTTTATAAACGCTAGAATGAGATGGTGATTGTGGATGAAAATGTGAGTTCACATTAGAACATTAGGGTCAATTGATAATGAGACTCCTTTAGCTTTGCCTGACCATTAGAATACCATGGTGCACAGAGTCAGCAAATTAATCACTCAGTAATAATGAGCTTCTCCTGCAAATATTTAAACAGGACCTAGACAATGCAAACTGAGATGTGCGATGATGCTTTAATAGAGAATGACAGAGAGGCGATGAACTTGAAAGGGTTTTTCAAAATGGTATAATTTAGAATTTTTTATTTATTTATTATTTGTGTGTACCTTGAAAGGTAATTTGACCCCAAAAAAAAAAAAAAAACATATGATGTATTAAGAGTAATTTATACTCTAACTCTAAATAATTTAATAGAATATATTAAAAAATTAGACATACGTAATAATTTTTTCCATACAAATAAAATAGTCCTACCTAATAACTTTGGCCTAGACCAACTAACGGATTAGCCTACAAGCAAAGCCTAATGGCCTGAGGGGCAAACATACTTTTAGGAGTGTAAATTTGGCCCAACCCGACCCGTGTCAGGTCTTGCGGGCTCTCGCCAAAATTTGAGCCAGTCCACGGGCTAGATAATTAGGCCCAAGCCTAGGGAGTATTCGAACATTGGGCGGGCCAATGGACCAGGCCTAGGCCTAGACTGGGCTTGGGCGAGTCTAAACATTTTTTTTTAATTTTTTAAACTTTCTACCAAAATTTTATTAGTTTTTTACTAAAAAAGACACTAGGCCTCAGGTTGGGCCTTAGGCGAGCCGATGGGCCGAGCTTCAAAATGATGGCCCAGTCCCAGGCCTAGGGTCTTGGGCTGGGCTCAGGCCCGAGCCCAAACAAGCCGGGCCCACCCGAGTCGCGGGACATTTTTACACTCCTTGGGTGGTTTTTTTTTTCACTTTTTTACTGTTTTTGTAAAAAAATTTCTATTTTTTGTAGGGCTCATGGGTTAGGATAGCATGCACCTCTCATGGATTAATTGGGTGAGACAAGTTTCAATGGGAAATTATTTATTATTCCCGGAGTATCATGTGTCTGTATTTCCTAACCAATCATTATTCAATATATCACTTCATGTTCCTCAATTACCCAATACAATAGCTCACCTATCCACATTCTCCACCAATCATAATACTATAGAATATCACGTGTCCATATTCTGAAATTACTGAATAATTACCCAGTTTGAATACTTTGCCCAAGCCCAGTCCAAGCCTTATTTAGACTAGGTTAGCTTGTCTAGAATAGGAATGGCAACTGGCCGGGACGGGGCCGGGAATTACACTCCCCACCCTCGATCCCTAGCGAGGACGCCATCACCCCCTGCCCCTGTCCCCTAACGGGATCGGGTTTCCCCGACCTTGAAAAATCCCTATCCTTTTTTTTTATTTTTTTTTCACAACATTAATCTTTTAGTATGAAACCCTGTACTAGTCTTTCCTATTCAAATTATAATCCCACTGTTCTTCCTTACCTCATATCTCAAATGAAGTAACAATGAAACCCTAATGTTATACAGCATTTCATTATCAAATAAATAAATAAATTTAAAAATGTTATATAACATTTGAATCTGACTGCATAAAAGGCACACCTTTCTTTTACAATCAACAAATTACAAAACATACAAGCTCCAAAATTTATCATAACTAAAATGATCCCACAAATATTTGAATCTGATCCCACAAAATTTATAAGATTGTTGTTGTTCATTACACACACACACACACACACACACACACACACACACATATATATATATATGTGTGTATCTATCAGATCTAAGAAAACCTTAACAAAAAAAAAAGAAAAAGATCTGAGAAAGCCTTAACAAGAAAATTTAGATCTGAGTAGTTCTTAGATCAGATCACACACACACACACACAGAGAGAGAGAGAGAGAGAGAGATAAGTTCTCACAGATCTGAGTTGTTCCGACCAAATGTTGTCGAACTCCAAACCCTCGTCGTCGGTTGATGGGGATGGCGAGAGAGACAAAGAAGAAGACTGATTTTTCTGTTGGTGGAGCAAGATCTGGGAGTTCATGGAGTTGGTGAGCAAACCCTTTTCAAACATGATGAAAATTACAACAGATGTCATGGAGTTGGTGAGAGAGAAAGAAGACAGAGAGGGAATACATGTGGAGGAAAATGGAGACTTGGATACGAGAAAGAACAAAGATGGGGACGGCGATGAGAGACAGAGAGAGAGAAAGAGGCTTGTTTGTGAGGCTATGTGATGGTTTGTTTTATAGATATATATATATATATATATATAGAGAGAGAGAGGGTATACTAGTAATTTTAGTTCGGGGAAACGGGGAAAACTGCTCTAATCGGAGTCAGGGGATCGGGTCCCGATCGGGCCAGGTTGAAATTACCATTCCTAGTCTGGAGTACGTTCAGTTAGATAAAAAAATTATCAGGCTGAGCTGCAATTGCAAGTATTTAGATTAAGAAAAATGTTAGAGATTTTAAAAAATTTATTAAATATTTTATATAGATGTGGAACCCACATCATGTGGGTTTTATATGGGTCCCACATCTATGTGAGACATTTGATAAAAAATTTAATAAAACTTTTGGAATCTCTAACATTACTCTTACATTAAATGATAACCCTTAAATAAGGTAGCTTGTCAACATAATATTAAAAAATTAAAGGATAATTACAACCAAAAAAAAAAACCCCCATAGTTTGATCTATAATACAAATCAAACCCTAAAATTTTGATTGTATCAATTTAAACCTTGATATTTCAAATTGATCTCAATTTTAACCTGTGGTGTGTCTAGGTCTGTTTAAATACATTAACGTTATGTTTGGCTTGGAGATTAGGAAAAGGAAAGGGAAAAGTATGTAAAGTTAGTGAAACATAGGTATATTTTATTGGCATTTGACCTACCTTTTCCCTTTTCATTTCCAAATTCTTTTCTAAATCTCCCAACCAAACACATCGTAACGAAAAGTCTTTCGGCATGGCAAGTGTCATTTTCTCATTAATTCTTTAATGTAATATCAATTTTTAACTTTTACCGTAGGACACTAGATTACAACCACTTCATATCAAACAATCCCACAGTCTAGACTACTACCATCTCTTCCCTTTCTCCCCTAGTTCACCGCCACCGTCTTCTCTATAGTCGCACGACTTTTTCTCTCTATAACCTCCATAATCAACATAATTGTCGTAGATTTGCAGATCTATGTATTGATTTTATGATTTGTAGAGATGATTTGCAGAGGTTATAGCGGTGAGAAGGGAAAAAAGAGAAGATTTGGATTGTGGTGGGCCGTGGGTGGGTGAGGAAAATCTAAAGCTTCTTTGGAGTGTTTTGGGAATATGGTTAAAAATTGACTTTTTGGCTTCTTTTAGTTTTCTTTTTTTTTTTTTTTTTGAAAAAACGTGTAAAAAATATGAGAGCTGATATGACTCAAAATGGGTTAAAAACTAAGAAGTGATTTTTAACCCACTTCCCCAAAGAGGCCTTGATGTGGATTCCAGTTTAGATATGTGTAATTCAGATTTCAAATTCAAATTCTTCAATCTTTCTTTCACTTTTTGTTTTAAGAATCTTTAACTTCTTTTATCTTTGCAATTTTTTTATTCAGGGGTCATTTGGGAACATACAAAAAAAAAAAAACAAAACAAAACAAAAACAAAAGTCAATTTTAACCCATTTTAAGTCACATCACCTCTCATGTAAAAAGTCAAAAAAACTAAAAAAATTAAAAAGTTAACTTTTAACCATCTTCCCAAAACACTTCTCAATCCATTAGCACATCTAGCAGGTTAAAATTGAAATTAATTTAAAATATCAAGGTTTAAATTGATGAAATTAAAATTTTTGAATTTGATCTGTAACATGAGTCAAACTATAGGTTTTTTGTTTTTTTTTAATAATTATCCAAAAATTTATAACTCTCATCTTTATTTAAAGTTCAATAAATTGGACAAGCTTATGAATTTTCCTTTGAAAATTGCCAAGTTTTAGTTTTTCCAATTTTTTTTTTTTTTTTTTTTTTTTTTTTTTTTGGTTTTGTAAAAGAGTTTTATTTATTACAACTAAAAAAAACATTAAAAGAAAGGAGATGGTGATCATGGCTAAGAATGACTGTGTGCATCACATAGTAAGTAAGCTAATAATTAAAATAAAAACACATGTGTTTATAAAAACAACATATCATGTTTAGTAAAGGCCGATCTTTGATCGAGCGAGTGAGAGTGCTTATTTCAGGACCTTCCCCTCTCGTACCCAAGTTCCTGAGCCGAGGCAACTTTGGTGATGACGGACTCGTGGCCTTTGGCGTGACTCAGGGTTTTCTAAATTTTCCAAAATAAAATATTTAGGTGGCAACTCTGTAATCTGGTAAAGCAGTCCATGTTTGGCGCTTTTTGATTCAAAATTGATTTTTCAAAACCAATTGCCGGATTTGGACTCATTGGTGATTTATCAGTCTTACATTGCACTTTGTGAGATTAGATTCAGAGCTATGACAGGAGTCCGAACTGTAGTAGCTAGAACCCAATCTGCGCCCTCTCCGAAAGGGGGGCACGCGGAGAGAGTTCGAGCAGTCTACAGTTTCTGGCGACTCTGTTGAGGATTCAGAGAACTTGACTCGAATTTATGACATTTTTTGTCTACACTTATATGTTTCCTTGCATTGCATTTGCATTGGTGCGCTTAAGTCACAGTGTTTTCCATCTGCTATTCCTGAACAGTTTTGTCGGAGGCTTGCTTGGAAAAGTGTGCCATAAGGCTGACCGGGTACGGGCTCTGCCACAATGGAAACACAGACCTCAATTTTTACCGAGGCACCCTTTTTGACGATTCGACCTAGTCGCATATCGGAAACCATAGAGACCAATCCAAACTAGAACAGGGTCGCTTACCCGAATGTAGGTTGTTTGAAGCCGCTGCGTGCGTAGTGAAACCCTACCCCACCGTAAGGGTGTTTTGGCTCTTATTTGCTTGATATGTGCTGTTAGGGGTGTATCTCTACAGGAATGTATGTATCAATTGCAAGTCTGAGTATCGGCCTGAGGGTATCAATTTACTGGCAAAATTTTGGACAGAATTCTGTAGGGAGCACAGTCATTCAGGTTTGCTCATATTGGTTCTGGTGAAATCAGGCTGAGATGCTTTCTGTTTTATTCTTTTGCAAGGTAGTCCTGGAACTATAGCTTCAGAAGGCTCCAATATCCCTTGGGTACATTGGACTTGTGTTGATAGACTTTGTCAGGTCAGAGATTCAGTTCAGGGGCAACCAGTGTTTCCTTCACCAGTGGTAAGGCAAGAAAAGGCCAGTCAAGCATAGATCACCAGTTCAACAGTCTCCAATTCAGCGGTCACTATCTACATCACCTGTGCGCAGTTGGGCTTAGTTTCCTGTTCCCACCTCAGAAAGAGAAAACTCACCAAATCCGATAAATCAGCCCCCTTTAGCCAATATGAGTATGGAAGACAAGATCCGTCAGCTCTAACAGACTATGGAGGCCATGCAGCGGGATGTTGCCCGCTAAGCGAAGGTTACCGCCCGCCAGACCGAGGTCGTGGCTCAACAGGCCGAACTCATCACCCGATTTCAACAACAACAGCAACAAACACAATAGGGAACAGCTTCTATATCCCACCTACCTCCAGTGGAAAGTCTTGCACCAAGGGCTCCTGCCCCTACTGCCAATGCCTAGGAGAATACAGATGTCCCAGTGGATCCCACTCCACCTCAGACTTCCAAAGCACAGGCCTGTCCAATTGAGGTCCCTTTCGAGGTCAAAGTAGATCCAACTGCATTAAAAGTGAGCAAGCTTGAAAAGCTGTTCAAGAGGGCTCAAGGTGTTAACTCTATTTCAGACATAGAGGATGGTTACACAGATTCGGCAGTGACATTGCCGGACCGGTTCAAGATGCCACATATAGACCGGTTTGATGGTTCTGGAGATCCTATGGTACATCTGCGGTTGTTCTCGGATATCTTACGGCCAATGGGCCTCTCCAGATTACAAAAGCTATCTCTCTTCAATCGGACCCTGTCGGGTGTTGTAGCCATCTGGTACGCTAAGTTGGAGGATTCGGTAAAAAGGAGTTGGGAAGAGATGGTCGAGGCTTTTGTCGCCCAATATTCATACAACACGCAAATCGAGATCACAACTCGTGATCTCGAGGTAACTAGACAAGAGCTGAAGGAGGGCTTCTCTGACTTCGTAACCCGTTGGAGAGCCAAAGCTTCTATCATGACCACCAGGCCGGCTGAGAAAGACCAGATAAGGATGGTCGTGCAGAATCTGCAATTGAAGTTGATGCAGAGGATGATTGTCTTACCCCTCCCCACCTTTGCTGACCTTCATAAGATTGGGGTACAGATAGAGGATGCTATTAAACAAGGTCTGATTGACCACGAAAGGGAGTCACCCAAGAAGGGTTATACACGCAGTTCGAATGTGACCACCACTGGTGATGCAGCTGCAAGATCTTTTAAAGTTGGAATGGTTACCACCACTCCGAAAATGGCCACCCCCTTTGTTGGTACGTCCAATCCAAATCCCCAAACTTTGAACTATCTACCCTGAGGCAAGAGGGTTTTCACCCCACTTTATATGCCTTTGTCTAAAGCTCTAGGGGTCCTACTTAGGAAAGGACATCTGAAACCGTTAGAACAACGGCCTCTACCCGATCCTCTCCCTCCAAAGCATGACCCGGCTACATAATGTGCCTTCCATCAGCAGCATGGTCATGATACCGACTCTTGCTTCAGACTACGTCATGAGATTCAAAATCTCATTGACAACAAGATAATAGCACCTCCAGAAAAACCAAATGTCAATCAAAACCGTCCACCTAGGCAGGTAAGCTTCATCCAGACAACGGCCAACTCGTTTGACCCCAGTATATATATCACCCCAACCCATATACCCAAGCCTGAGGTGTTCATTCCTGTCAGCATGGACTTATGCATGATGGGTACACCTGAACCCCAATCATCTCAAACCTGTGAACCCACTACTTCTGAGCTGGGGAGCATAATTGAAGATTTGCAAAGAACTGTGGTGGATTTAGCCTTTGGAATTTTGGCTCCATCATCAACCACATCACATACTAGGGATTTCATGTCAAAAGGCTCCCCAACCTTGGGACGGGCTGTATTGGAAGAAGGCCAATCTCTTAGCAAAGTGGAGGCTAGTGATAAGAACAAGGCAG